CTTAAAAACAGGAAACACTTTTTTTTTTTTTTTTGCCACTGTGAGGATGACCAAGCACTGGAGCAGGCTACTCAGATTGGTTATGGAGCTTCCATTCTTGAAAGTATTCAAAAGCTGTCTGGATGTGGTCCTGGGCAACTGGCTCTAGGTGGCCTTGCTGGAGCAGGAGGGTTGGACCAAATGACTTCCAGAGATACCTTCTAACACCTCAATCTTCCTGTGATCCCTTTACCTGGAAGTCCTTGGGTGATAGTCTTTGCTGTGCAGGCAAGCAAGATCATAGATCATAAAGGTCAGGTGGCATTTAAAATCTAGGACCCTCTACCCTCACTGTGACACACTGATGTGTTTCCTTCTGTCAGCAGGGAGCAAGCCCATAAGACGCAAGACCAACAACAAAATCATGGCAACATCTGGTGGCACTGGCCGCTCTCCCCTCAGCATCCTACAAGATGATAATTCCCCCGGTGCTCCCGCCCCTCGCCAGGTAAAGCTTATTGGGTTGTACCGTGGGAGGGAGTAACGGGCTGAAAAAAACCACAAATCTTTCAGTGCTGTATTTTGTAGCCCCCCAGTTTGGAACTGTGACCTCCTAGACCTGTAGAGCATAGTGTGATTTCATAAGTATTTTTCTGTTGGTCGTTTTTGTCCCTAGATGCCTCCAAGTCTTGCTCAATGTCTGTATCTTTGGCCTTACCATGATATTGCCCGTTTCAATGCATTCTTCGGGCTGTAGAAAAGTTCATCACTCTTGAACGTTGTCACAAGAGAGCCAAAGCTGAGTGGCCTGAAAATGGGCTACGTGTTCCACTGAGAATTAATGAACTTTCAGTTAACTTGTGTTTTACCCTTTATGTTTGTGTTTGTTTTTTTATTTATTTATTTCTCTAGGGTAAGAGACATGTGTTGGGAGAGAACGTTGCAGAGAAGAAGGAAGTGATAGTGGATCTAAGCAGGAGCCTCAAATCTGGGAACTGTGCTTGGAGTAACCTGAACAAAGAGAACCAACAGTGTCCTTTTGTGGAGAACTAAATATTTCCTTTTTGAAGATCTTGCTGTAATTTGCCTCTATGCTTTGAGAGTCTTCTAGGGGTGAGAAATCCTGCAATAGACTGGAACTCTGGACTTGTGGTCACTCTTCTTGCCTGTCCCTGCTGGGGAAAGGAGCACACTCTCTCCATGTGCCTGTTTTTATGTACAGTACAGACCCTGGCTCTGCTGTTGTATATCAGCTGTATTGACTTACTGTATGTAGAGTTCTTATCTGTAGTGAATAAATTTGTATTAAACCTTTGCTGCCTGTATCTGTGTCCTGATAAGGCAGTAGGAGTCCCCTCCTTGCCTACTGCAGTGTTTTCTTTGGGGATAACGATTCAGGAACAACTAGTTCAACCTTCCATTAGCCCTAAAACTCAGCTCTGTCCCCTGCCTCTAATGTGCCACCACAGCTGACCTTGAATCTCTGTAGTACAGAAGGTACTGCAGCTCTGTGAAGGAGACTGATGGATCTAGAGTAGCTTCTGGAGTTCTGCACCTATGCTGGCCTGAAGCTAATGTATACAAAGGACTGTGGCCTATTGCAAGGGTCTGGCATGAGGGTGAGGTCCAAAATAGGATGAGATAGTACGGTGCATTAGTATCTTCACCTTCTGTTGATAGGTCACTACCCCTTGTGGACCTCCAACTCTATAGCAGAGCCTTGGGACACCAGGTTGCTGCTAAAAGACTAAGAATAGGGGCTGAACATAATGGCTGTGTCCTGTAATTGAGCTTGAATCTCCAAGGTTTGCAAGGATGCATTTGCAGCTCTACCCTAACTCTAGGGCAGCAAGCCTTGGGCCCAACAGCCTCTTCTTGACTAAAACGTGGGTGAGGAACTCCCTCCTCTGGCAACCTGTAGATGAGATGGTGTTCTTTGGATGGGCTATTCACAGGAGGGGAGTTAGGTTTGCAGTAGCTCAGTGCAATGCTGGAAAAAACACAGCCTGCAGTGCTTATGTGAGCTTTCTTTATTTGCCTGGGCTATGAAGATCTAGAACAGACTTGAAAACAGGGGCTGGTGGCTACTGGGTCACCATACAACACAGGAGTGAGGCAAAAAGAGAAGGAACAGAAAGAAGCAGAAAATAAATAAGCACAAATATAATATTCCCTGGTGTTCTGGCAGGTCTGAGGGCTACCTTTCCCTCGTTTATGCATAGATAAGATTTGAGCTAAGTCTTCCCCAATGGAAAATGAGCCCAATTTGCTTTAGGTTTTTTTTTTGTTTGAGGTTACACGACAGAAATCTCAAACCCAGCACATCTCTGAAGCTTTCTGCAGGGATACAGGACAGCTGCACGAAGTTGGGTGGAGTGAAATCAGGGGCAGAACTTAGTCTGGGTCAGATGTGGTGGGTGAGAGGTCCTCCAAAGGATGGGTGTCAACGTGGGCATGACGCAGGGTGTCTGAACTGTACTGTAAAGTCCTGAGACGTAATGAGAAGTGCTTTGCAGGTCTTCAAGCCCTGCGTGAAGCTGGAAGCTACTGGGCCTGTTTAGAGGTGGAGAGAAGGGCCGGAGTGTGTGCTCCTGCTCCCCAACCTCTCCTTTCCCTTTCACTCCGGGAGACCCCTACAAGTGACCTGTGTCTAGAGACAAGCGGGAGTGGTGGGTAGGCGTTGCTGTTGTGCTCAACTGACGATGCTCTTGTGCATGGGCTCGGGCTGTGGGCCGTGCTTCCGCTGGTCTTTCCCTCTCGGTTGCCGTCCTCAGTTCCAAATCTTGAGGAAGCTGTCCCAGGAACCGGTGGCAACGGCCATGCCGTCTGCCGTCACCCCCAGGCAGCTCACTCTGTTGTCGTGGCCAGAAAGGATTCCTGCAGGGGAAAAGAAGAGAGGTCAGGGAAAGAAGTGGGGCCTGGGAGGGATGAAGGGGTTGCCCACGCTGAGGGCACGCATCGTAGGCCATGTACCTACAACCCCGTTCCTGCATGACGTGTTACAATCAGTACGTGGCTGATGAGGACAAACATGCAGAAGAACGTTTGTGCCTGGCATACAACCAACACCCATGGGCCTGGCCAAAGAATAATGTCCTTGGGAAGATCTGGCTAGTTGAATCCTCACACAACTGCTTTCACCCTGGAGTGATGGTGGGACTAAGGAAGGGTGGCGTCTTTGATAAGGCTGAGAAAGGGCAATTCTGTTGTTGGGTGCAATATAAATTTCCGGAGGCTAGGGGCCACAACTGAAAAAAAATGGCACTCGGGTGAATTCTGTGTATCAGCATCATAGGGTAACCAAAGATGTTGGATGGAAGCCCAGATCCATGCTCAGCTTGGTGCCTGGCCACCAAGTGGCACTGTAAGTAGCTGGAACTGGCAAATGGCAGAGTGTAGAAGAAAGTAGGGAATGCTACAGGTGCTTATGGGCAGTTTTAGCCAATAGTAACCTTAACGCTCCTTTCCCCCTTGAAATAGTGCTGTTTAAAGGCTTGACTTCCTTAACATTAAACCCAGTAGTTCTACCCAAAGAGAGTTGTACTAGTTATGGTGTACTCCTTAAGTGTGAAGAAACTTTGATGGGTTCCAGTCAGCATAGGACATGTCCCTTTTAGAAAAAACAAAGGCATTTTCCTTGCCTTGGTAGCGACAGAAGACCTTGCAGGAAATGACAGAGGGACCTCCAGGAGCCACTCACCCACGCGCTCTGCTTTCAGGGAGTCCCAGATGTTGCAGTTGAAGTCATCGTATCCAGCAAGCAAGAGGCGCCCACTGCGGGAGAAGGCGACCGATGTGATTCCACAGATGATGCTCTCGTGAGAGTACACTATGAGCTCCTGGTCTGCCCGCAGGTCAAAGAGACGGCAGGTGGCATCATCGGAGCCGGTGCAGATGGCTTCACCGTTAGGGAAGAACTGAATGGGGGAACACACACCAGGTTTTAATCAGGCTGCGCCTTACAGATTTCTACAACTCTTCACCTCTCTGCTAACCACCAGGAAGCCATGGAGGTAGGAAAACCCTGTAGGACAAGACACTGGATTGCAAAAGTTGAGTCTGAAGGGGAACACTGATGCTTCTCCTAAGACCTAATAAACGAGGGGCAATGGCTTCAAGCTGGAGGGGAACAGATTTAGACTGGAGATTAGGAGAGGGTTCTTCACTGTGAGGGTGGTGGAGCACTGGAAGAGGTTGCCCAGGGAGGTGGTTGAGGCCCCATCCCTGGAGATATTCAAGGTGAGGCTCGATGAGGCCCTGGGCAACCTGGTCTAGTTGGGGGTGTCCCTGCTGACTGCGGGGAGGTCGGACTAGATGACCTTTGGAGGTCCCTTCCGGCCTGGGCCATTCTATGATTCTATGATTCTATAAACCCTTTCCACCTCAAGAAAGCAAATGACCCAGGGGCTAGAGCTATTGCAAGACATCCCAGTGCTTGAGGAGGGATTATTGTCTCTTTAACTCCAGCTGTTAGTTTGGGGCTTGACATGTGTCCACCCATTATCCCCTAGATAGGGCCTGGCATGATTCAGAGCTACGAGAGCCTTCCTCTGTCTGATCCTCACACTCCAACCACACTTTTCTGTGTCCTTGCTCTGAGAAGCAAAAAAGAGCTCCTCAGGAGCAGGAAAGTCTGATCCTCACACTCCAACCTCCTCATCCACACGCCTTTTCTGTGTCCTTGCTCTGGGAAGCAAAAAAGAGCTCCTCAGGAGCAGGAATGGCAGAAAGCCATACAGCTGGCAGCGTAGCCATGGGACAGGTGAGAAAAGCTGTGCTAATGGAAGTCAGTGGAGGGTGGTTCAAGCAATGGACATTGCAGGAAGCTGGCAGGCTCATCCAGTTAGCTACAGGGGACTAAACTGGCACGTTTCTTGTCCTGCCACCTCTAGGGTTCCAGTTTGAATCCTTGCCTCTGAGGGGGACACTGACCCCCAAATGTCTGTGCTGCCTCCTGTGAAGATTTCATCTTCAGAAGATCTCCCTATGATCCTAAGTTCTCTGAGTGGGGCACTGGCCTTCAGGATCTTCAGAAGATCTCCCTATGATCCTAAGTTCCCACCTCTGCTGTCTGGAGCTGACCAAGACCCTCAGCTGAGCTAGGTATTCCTGCTGCCAGGGCTCCTGGAGCACACCTGAGCCATGGTTCCCAGCAGCTGCTATGAATAAAGCTGCACCAGCACCTGTGTTATGGTGCTTAGCTCCACAGACCATAGTTCACTGGCAGTCCAAGCAGTGCTTTGAGTCAGACCTAGGTGCTTTGATGCCCCGGTGCCTGGAAAGAACCAGCCTCCAAACTTCAGTGAACTCAGGCCCTCCCTGCTTCAGGTTGGACCATGGGGCCAAGGTCTCCTGAGAGCCTTGTTCCCCACACGACTGTGACAGCTTCTTTCAACCTTGCCCCAAGACCTTGTTTCAGAGTTGGTCCACCCTCTGTTTTCCTCTCCTCCCCACCACCGTGCAGGCAGCATACATACGCAGATGGCATTGATATCAGACTCGTGCCCTGAGAAGGTCTGACGGCAGGTGCCCTCCCGCACGTCCCACAGTTTGGCAGTAGCATCGCAAGCCCCAGAGATGAAGAGTTTGAAGTCTGGGGAGACGGCCAAGCTCATACAGTCTCCGGTGTGTCCCAGGAACACAGTCTTCTGCTGCCCCGTCTCAATGTCCCAGAGCGCGCTGCAAGGAAAGGAGAGAACTTCTCAGGGCCATCCCAGGCAGACCAGACCTACGGCTGGGCTGGAGGGCTGTCCCACTTGCAAAGAAAAGGAGGGAAGCCATGGGCCTGGCTACCACATGGGAAAACGGGCAAAAGCATGGCTGGAGTCAGCTCTACACAACAGGAGATACCTTCACAGCTGTTGCTGGTCATACCTTTGCCAAAGCAGCATTAGACTACAGCTGGGGGTGGGTGAGGTATTCCACCACTGCAACAGCTGTAGGGAATGCTGAGGGGAGGGAAGATTGACCGTATTCCCACCACTGCAGCAGCTGTAGGGAATGCTGAGGGGAGGGAAGAGGCACCCACAGGCAAACGGCTGAAAAAGGTATGTTGTGTCCACGCTTGGAGGATGCCTGCTCCATGTTCACCCAGATCCCATGTTACAGCCAGGCAAACAAGCCCCGTGTCACCTTGATTTCTGCTGGAAATACCACATCCGGACTCACCCTGGGTCAAGGCTTCTTCCAAAGCAAGTGTTGGGGTGGGGTGGGAGTGAATGAAGACTCAGCATTGCTCAGAGTCACCCCACAGCGAGACCTGAGAGCCAGGAACCAAAGGATCCAGGCACTGGCTTTGCAGGTGTCCCTTGCACCACAGTGAACAAAGACTCAGCATTGCTCAGAGTCACCCCACAGTGAGACCTGAGAGCCAGGAACCAAAGGATCCAGGCACTGGCTTTGCAGGTGTCCCTTGCACCACAGTGGGCAAGACTTGAGAAGTGGGGTGTGTATGTGAGCTCCACATAAATTTACAGTATTTTCTGTCCTGCGATAAATGACTCTTTGCTTTGTGAGGGCTGACATGGTCCCTACTGCTTCACCAGCAGACCTGCATCTCGAGCTGACCTCAATTGGGAAAAGAAGCACCCTTTCTGCCAAGGGAGGTGGAATGGATCTGGCCTCCTAAGGTGCTCTGGGTGGCCTCCCCATGTAGGACCAATTTGTCCTTAGGTAGTGGTTTGCTCCAGAGAAGAAGGATGTGTGCTGTGCCTCTGAGAGCCAGAGGTCAAGCCACCAGGACGCAGAAGATGACACTCACCATGTGGTATCCCCAGAGCTGGTCACAATATTGTTGTCATCAAGAAATCGGCAGCAGGAGAGGTAACCTGGGAAGTGGGAACAAGAGAATATGAGAAGTGGGGCAGGGTTAGAAGACTCAGAAGGCTCGGAAGCAGAGGGCACCCAGGTTGCACACACCTGTATGGGCTGAGAGCTCCCTGCTCACTTTGACGTTGCCCTCACGAGTCTTGAGGTTGTAGATGGAGCACATGTTGTCAAGGCCCCCACAGGCCACAAAATTGCCTGAGGGGGCATAGGCACAGGTCATGACCCAGGAAGAGCGCAAAGGGATGGCATGAACCTGGGAGGACATGAAACCGTGTTGAGTCTCTGGCAGCAGATCAGACCCACTCCAGCATCCTGGCTTCCTGCAGCCACCTGACTCCTACCTTGTTAGTGGTGTACGTGTCCCACACAATCAGTTTCCCGTCTTGTGAGGCACTGACCAGAAGTCTGTGAGAGAGGAACAAGACCCTGTTAGTGGCTCTCTTCCCATCAGAGCCTCTTTTGCCCCTGTCCCCAACGAGCTGCCCTGCGCCCCACAGGTCAGCTGCACCTCTCTCGTCTCACTTGGAGTCCGTGGACCAGTGCATGGCGTAGATCTTGGCCAGGTGCCCACGCAGGGTCCTTCGGGTCCGCATCTGGATGCGGCCAACAACCTCCACTCCAGACACAATCTGAGGAAAGAGCGTTGGGGAGACAAAGACTTAGTCTTGGACTGGCAGGAGCTTTGCTGCTCCCCACGTCTCTGCTTCCCAACTGGAGAGAGTCGCCCCATGGGGTGGTGCTAGCTGACCCACACACACACACTCACCTGCCCAGCCAGCCCTGTCCCTTACCTGAGCAAGCGTTGTGTCTGCGCAGGCTTTCCGGGCATCCTGGAGAAGAGACAGGAGGAGATGAGACAGAAAAAAATGCCGTGTGATGAAGGCAACGGCAAGTGAAATTCTGGGGCATACCCTGGGGGCTTCTAGAAGTAGGAACCGTGGCTTTGCTGTGCTTGGATTGTGGCCAGCACAAGGGGGACCCTGGTTTGTGACTAGGGCACCTCGGCACCAGTCAAACCTCAGGAAGGTGAGGCAGAAGCTGCTCAGCATCCAGTTCCCCACGCAACACCCTTTCCATGGATCATCCCACCTGCCAGAACATCAGCTGCCTCTCAGACAGAGAGACCACACTCTTTGGGGCAGACACAATGCCAGTGGCCACTTCCTTCTTACCCTTATACTGTCCCCTCTTCTCTCCCTTCCCTTCCCCATCTCCTCCCCCCACCCCCACGCTATGAAGATCTCCATTAAAGGGCTGTGCAGAACTGCAGAGACCTCCAAGCATCTAGATGGAGAAAATTCAACTCCAAGTTGTGATTGAGGAGAACTTAGACACAAGGGGCAGGGGGTAGACATCCCTCAGCAGTTTCATGGCTGTTGCCAGCATTACCGCAATCTGCTTCTTCAGCTGCTCAGCCTCCTGCTTCATCTGCTCCATTTCCCCCATCTTTCTGACCTAGGGGTGGCTCCTCCACGTGGGGCAGCCTTGATTCTGGGGGAAAAAAAAAATCAAAGGAGAAAGGTGTGAGGTAGAAAGGCAGAATATGACTGCTCAGTTATGCAAATGTAGGCATCTCTCATGAAGGCTGAGCAACTATTTCTTGGCTGAATGCTTGGTAACATTGTCCTGTATCTAGTCAAGGCCCTCAGCATTTGGGAAGATCGTAGTGGGCCTGATCAAAGGTCCATTTGTTCTTGTGTCCTGCTTACATGTACACTGGGAATCTGAAGACCTCCAGAGCCTCTTGCTGAAGTTCTGGACACACTTGTTCCCTCACCTCTTCATTTTTAACCTCTCCATTCCAAGCCCTACCGAGTCCTGAGTCCTCTTCATCAGGTTCTCCCTGTCCACGGCCAAGCTGTCTATCTCAGCTCCAGGAGGAGAAAACTTGATGGGGGGAGCCCACTGGCTATTTCCTGTCATTTGTCCTAGGGAAAGCATCATCAGGCATCAGCTCTTTGACCATCAAGGAAATCTGGGGGCTGTTGAGGTGCTCTGTCAATTTAAAAAAGGTGAATGCCTAGGGAAGGATCTAAGAGCAACATAAGCAGATAGTGGTCTTTCTCCTATTTTCCTAGCCCCAGATTTTCATTGGTGTCCAAAGCTAGAGGCAGCATTACTGTATGCAAGTAATGGACTTGACGGACCTTTCTTCTATGCATTTGTCCACACAATTTTTGTGCCCGTGCCAAAGTTTAGCACCCTCAGTATCCCACAGTGATGACTTCCACAGCTTAGTGGCAGGCCCTGCAGAATCCCTGGTTGTGTTACAATGGCACTAGTTCCACTTGGTGGTCCTTAGCTTTTGGGTTGGAAGAATCAGCAAATAACTATTTTCTATTCACTCAGCATCATCTGGTATTTTCACAGACCTTTGTCATATCTGTCTTCATCCATCTCTTTTCCAGACTGTGGAGCACACTTAGTCATTCCTGCCATGTCAGCCGTTACATCCTATTAGCTCTGTTGTTCTCCAAGCCCTTTTCAGTTGTTTACAGAGTACAGATGATATGTTTTTGCAGAGAGAGCAGTGAACCAGAACTGTAATCCATATTCAAGATGCAGGTGCACCATGTGATTATACAGCATCTCCGTTTTGTTCTCTCTTTCTTGTTACGTGCACTTAAAACTTCACCAGTGATTCCAGCATCTCCCACTCTTTTAGACAAATCTGATCTTTAATTGCTTCAATCGTTCTCCTGGATAGGTGTGAGTATCCAGATGCGCTCCAGGTGTTGTTCATCATCAGAACTTTGCCCCAAGACCAAGAAATACTACAGCAGCACCTGCAGAATTTCTCCTAGTCCCTGTTGGTCACATTGCCTCTATCCCCTTCTGGCCTGTTGCCTGAAGGCCTCATTTCTTCCAGCCAATGGGGCTCTGGGTCCTTCCACACTAGGCTGCTCTCTTGCTATGAGCAAGCACATGCAGATAGCTCCCAAGTCCCACCTTTGCTCACTGCTTCATAGAGCTCTTTGGGTTTCCCCTCAGAATCCTGTCCACTGAATGTCTCTGTGGCTTTCATGTCTGAAGGATGGGGACAGACCAGCACCTGAGCTGGGCCCTTTCCACTGTTTGTTTTTTCTCTCATTTTAAAAAAGAAGAGTGATGAGGCTGTTCCTCCCAGCAAGGATTCATAGCTGCACCGGGTTGAGTGATGGTGACCATGAAAGTCCACCTGCATGCACTTCTCCTCCTTTGGGAAGGGGTCGGGAACCCCATGCCTTCTCTTGGCTAACAGAATGGGAAGATGGTGAGGAAAGCCTTGAAGCTTTCAGTAGGAGGTTGCACATCCTCCTTATCTTGTGGCATTTTCCCCTCCGCTTCAGCGTACAGTGAAGCAGTGGAAACTGTGTCCAGCTCTAGTTGCTGCCTACCAGCACACCAAGTGGAAAACCTGAACTTCCAGCCACCCTACGGAGACCAGCCCTACCATTGTGGGCCACATCTTCCCCTTCCTCAGTTCTCCACAGGGCTGATCCTACCTCCCCTCCAGCAACCCTAAGCATTGGATTATGTTTCCTTGCTCCCTTACTTCTTCACTCTGACTCTCTCCTCCTTCCAGTCTCCTCTACATGGTCCCCAGGCTGTTATTTCACACAGCTTTGGCCACCTGAGATCATTGTCCATCCACCTGCCCTAATCTGTCTTGGTGGACTTCTGGTTTTGCCCACTCAGACCTGCATGGAGATGGGAGTCTTCTTCTCTCTTCCTCCCAATTTCTGCCCCAGGTGAGGCTGGCCACACACGTCCTCCTCACTGCCCATCGCATCTCTAGTCTTCCTTGCACGGCTCCTGCTTTTTTTTTTACCATTCTCTTCCCTTCCCCAGGTGTTTCTTTCTCGATTCTGGCACCAGCACGGGAGCACCAACTCACAGGCACCTGCTCTGCGAAATCCCAGAACCAGGCGAGGGGCTTTCGGAGCCCGTGGGGCAGATCAAAGGGCAGGGGCACGACGTTGAGGACGGATAAAAAAGGGCTAAATATAGAGAAAGTGCAGCTCAGGCTCAGGACTCTGTCCGAACCTTTAAATCCCTTTGAGGGAACACTCTAAATGAAGTTGGGAATTGTTCTCAGCCTCAGAAGGACAAGGAGCCACGGACGAGCGATAATAATAGCTCCAGCTTCGCCTGTCGCCTCCACCCATCACGTCCGAGTGCAATTTGTGGAGAGTGAGCTACCTGGTCCCCAGAGGAGTGCAAGCTGCCTCCCAGGAGGACCACGGCAGGTGTGCAGAAGAGCAGCTTGTCATGGTCATGTAAATTTAGGACAGGAAACGGAGGAAACAAATGGGGGAAGAACAGAGGAAAGGGGAATGGAGCTGGGAGCCCGGCCAAGGCACGTTCCTGCTGGGAGCAGCGGGACCTGCACATTTCTTGTGGATCCACGGATCAGCTCACGGCTGCTCGTGGTAACTGCCCAGCCTGGTTTTAATGGGAACTTCCAGTGCTGCCTGGAAGTAAGGGATCTTTCAGGTGGACGCTAAGCAGTAGAGGAAACCAAGTCCTTAGGTACCTTTGAAAAAGCAATTCTCCACCACCATTGCAAAAGAGCTACTGACAGGAGGACCTTGGCACCAGGACTGGTCCAAAGTCGTGCCTCCTACAAGCATCACCAAGGAGCACAGCACAGCCAAACAGAGCTTGGACTTAGTCAGCTCATGCCAGCCCTCTTCTCAGGTCTGCCTTGGCTGTGCTTATCCAGTTCACAGTTCTTGGATTTTTGGAGCCACGTTTCATTTCTTCTTCTCTCCAACATGACAGTTCTTTCCCCTCCTGCCTTTTTCTGACAAACTTGCTGGAGGCATCTGCTGTAGCACTCCCATCTGTGGGCAACCTGACCCATCCTCAGCCCTTGAGTGTCTGCTTGGAGCAGAACAAATGCCTCCACTGTGGCATGAGGCTGAGGGGGGTTCTTGAATCACCCACCTTCTGCCTTTTGCTGCCACGCCACGACTTTTCAGGGCAGTGGCTCTGTCCCCTGCACCACGCCATGGTGGGGGCCCAGCCTGCACCCCAGGGGCTGTCAGACCGAGCATCACTCTCTTGTGAGGATCGGGGAGCAAGTGATGGAAGAAAGGGGAGGTGAACCCCCTTATTTCCCATCCTCCAGATGTGGGGTATCTTCCCCCACGCTGTGGAGGGAGCGGTCCCTCAGTGGGATCCTGGGAGAGGGCTGTAAATAGAAAAGGGAAAGGTGCAGGAGGGAGGACCGAGTATTAATAGGCAGCATCCCTGGGTCTCTGTGTAATCCCTGCACGGCCTTACTTGCTCGCCCTGGTGACCCCGGGCTCCTTGCAGAGCCGGATACAGAGATGATCCCCCTCTCCTGTGGTGGAGATCAAAGGCCAGGGTAAAATTACCCTGCTCTGCTCCTTGGTTTCTGAGGGCTCCTTCTCCATCCCGAAAAGCAGCCAGCTGGAAAGAGGGGTGCGCAGGGGGCACACCAGGAGTGCAGGGCTGTGTGTGGGCAGCGAGAGAAAGGTCCCACAGGGGAGGTGCTACCCTCCCGTTCCAGTCTGGGAATCGGTGAGATTTACCCACCAAGGGCAGAACAAGCGACTCCATCCAGTGCAAAACCCTTCATCATTGTAAAGACGTGCAAAGCCCATCATCATCGTAAAGATGTACAAAGTCCTTCATCATCGTAAAGACATCTCAGCAACTCCTTCTCCACCATCATCATCCCCCATCCCACCATCCTCAGACGGGATCAACCCATGTACAAAAACTCCCCACCCCGAGAAACCCAGTGTCCCAAACGCCGGGCTCACCAAGGTGACCTCAGGCATCACAACAAGGCGGCATCCTTACCGGGGTCTGTAGAGCGAGGTGGGTCGCAGTCCTCCCTTGGGGTGGGGACCCTCACGGCTTGTCTCCTCTGCTGAGAACGGCTCCCCGCCGGCCAGAAACCCCTCGTCCCTGTGCCGTCTCCAGTCGGTCCTGCCCGTCCCACCCAGCGAGTCCCTTGCTCCCTCTCGGCTCCTCAGCCTCTCCCAGGACTGACCTCCCCATGGGGAGCGGGGAGGCTGTGGATCGGGAGGGGTTGGGGGAGGGCTGATTCCAGGAGCGGCGTCAGGCAAATTAAATCAGACACCAGAGACTTGGGGAAATCGGATTGGGACGTAATGCAAAGCAGGTGGATGGGGAGGGGTGAAAAGAGAGAGTAGCACCACCGCTCCTGGAGGGAAAGAGACCATCACGGGCGGATTCGACTCCCTCTGTTTAAATCAGCAACAAACTAATAAAGTGCAGATTAGCCAGAACAGGCTGGGATTATCAGTCACTGGGGCAGGGCTTGCTGCACCTCAGAGTCCACGGGAATTCCCGTTTTCCTGGTGACAGGGCGCCATTTGTGTCCTGGGGCAGGGAGGGAAGAGGGATGCTGCCACCCACGGATGTCCCCGCCAAGGGAAAACCCACAGTAGGGCCAGGGTGACACCGTCCCTGGGCAGCAAACTGGGGTCTGCATGGGGAAAACAGAACTGGGCACAGAGGCCAGGGGTGGCAGAAGATTTGGTGGCGTGCCTTTTGGCAGCCACTTTAGTGGGATGCTGCGAGGGGATTATCTTGGCCTCAATCTCTTTTAATCTCTCCCGCGGCTTTGGCCCAAGCCCGAGATAAATACCTTTTAACGGATCTCATCTGACGTCAGGAGGCCATCAGTCTAATCACCCAAGCCACCTTTGGGCAAAGCAAGCCAGAGATGTGGACGCTGGCCCCTCACCCCCCAACACATCCGTGTCAGGATGCCCAGGAACCATCCCGTGCCCCACATACATCATCGGGATGGACGTGTGAGTGCCAGGGTGTGATGGACCTCCAGGTGCCCAGGGAGAGGGAATATGAAACGCACACGTGAAATAATTGTCTTTTTCCTGTGACCCCGGGGAGGATGGGAGGGAAAAAGGGCTGCCAATGCAGGTTTCCCAAGCTTGTGTGTAAAGGAAGTGCCTGGATTTAGGCTGAGGAAAGACTTCCCTTTCTGTGGAGCAGTGATCAGTGATGAGGAGATCACCCGCTCACCTCTTACACCACTGGCCCTACAGATTCCTTCCATATGAGCTGTAGTTGGGGTCTCCAAGCATGACTCTCATCAAGGCCTATGTCTGCCATGACCACAGATTGATCTCTGGCTCTAATGCTTCCCAGGAAAAGGGTCACTGCTCTTTTTTTGATACCCCACATCCACCCCATTCAATTCCCGTTTGGCTACAATATAATCCCATCTCGGGACACTAATCCCCTGGGCAGTGACAGCAGATTGTCTTCCTATCAGGGTGGAAAATGATAAACAAAATATCTCTTCTGCTTTCAGGGGCAATTTGGTGCATGGAACAGGCAGGGCCTATGTCTGCTACGACCACAGATTGATCTCTGGCTCTAATGCTTCCCAGGAAAAGGGTCACCGCTCTTTTTTTGATACCCCACATCCACCCCATTCAATTCCCGTTTGGCTACAATATAATCCCATCTCGGGACACTAATCCCCTGGGCAGTGACAGCAGATTGTCTTCCTATCAGGGTGGAAAATGATAAACAAAATATCTCTTCTGCTTTCAGGGGCAATTTGGTGCATGGAACAGAAAGAAAAAAAAAAAAAAGCAAAAACAAAGCAAAGCAAGAAAGGCCTTGCTGCAGGGAAACCTGAGCGTGCAGGGCTTTTTCTTAAAGGCACTCCCCACCTTTCCCAGGGGTTAGTCACAGGAGAGCCGACTTTCTCTCTTGCTCTCCCTTATCAGAAGGACCTGGCATCTGGACAAATACTTTGTTTGTTTTCTTTCACCCAGGGCTCAATCTCCTTCTACCATTTGTTAATTAAATTTCCACGGCAACCAGCGTGCATGTCTCCCTCCTGGCGTACAGACTCGAGCTCCCACCAACATCTGTGTCCAGCATTTTGCTTTTATTCCGTATGTTCACAGTCCCTCACCTTCCCTCTCAGACCAATTGTGAGCTTCTGGAGTTTGCAGGTGCCTAGGAAATTCACAGGCTTCTGCTTTGAGTTCTTGAATGTTGCACAGCCCTTGCTGAAAGATCCCAGGCTCCTCCTCCCCCTCCTGGATTTCATCCTGGATGACCAAGAAGCTGGCACTGAGGAGACCCTGCTTTTTCACTTCTGAGGGATACAAACATGTTGGCGAGGAAGTGAAGAAAGTTCCTGGTGTCACTGACTTTTAATATGTCAGGGACTTCAATGTCCCTGCTGCCATTTTGCAGCTGCTGGGATGTCACAGGGAAGAAAGCTGCATCCCTCCCCATCACTACGTCTCTAGCATGCTAATACACTTCTCCAGGCCTCTGTGGCCCCGGTGCTACCAAGACCTGCCAGGCCATGGTGTGTGCCAGTCCTGCCCCTGAGGCCCCTTGTGCTCAGAACTCATCTCTGGCCCGCAGCTCCTTGGGTTGCTGCGTCCTGTCTGAGCCAGGCTTGTGTCTCCGGCTCGTAGGCCTGGCTCCGCTGCTGGAAACGGGAAGCTCTGAGGAGGATCTGCCACTCTGCTCAGCCTGGCGTTCTTCTTCATCAGGCTGGTCCTGCTCCACAGCCCTCTGCTCCATCAGCTCCTCTGCCTTCACCCGCTCCTGCAGCCACGGAGACAGAGATGATATGAACCCCTCGCTGCTGGGGTCTTTGTCCTGCTCACAGGGGCTGACAAGCCACATCTTGTCTTTGCCACATCCATCCAACCCTCCCAGAGACCATTCTCTCTTGTGGAACCCAACACAGGCTGGGCCCCTCTACCAGGCACCTTGTCAGAGGACAACCCCCAGCTGCTGCACTAGGCTATGCCCCACGAGAAAGACCCCAAGCCACTCCTCAGAGGGATTTGATGTAGCTCACAGGTACTCTTATCCATTTTTCCAGCATGGTCCTTTACCTGCTCAGCATGCTCCTGGGAGTGTGTGTACCAGAGAGCGATGGCGCAGCGCCTGCCGCGGCTCACTGCCCACACGCCGTGGGGGTTCTCCTTGCCAGAGCTGAAGGCCACCAGCCTCCCACACTTAGGATGCACCTCAGCCTGACAGGAGAGACAGAAGAGACAATGAAGCCAGCAGCCCCCTCCTCTGGGGTACAAGGTCATTGTGGAGAGGTAACGGTGCTGCTGGGAACGTGGAACACCAGGCATCCACTGTGAGCAAGGTAGACATTGGGGATGGCAAGGGAGAATCAGAGGGACAACCTATGCCACAGACACCCACAGACTGCAAGAGCCTGGAACATAGAATCATAGAATGGTTTGGGTTGGAAGGGACCTCAAAGATCATTGAGTTCCAACCCCCCTGCCATGGGCAGGGACACCTCCCACCAGACCAGGTTGCTCAAGGCCACATCCAGCCTGGCCTTGAACACCTCCAGGGATGGGGCATCCACAACTTCCCTGGGCAACCTGTTCCAGTGTCTCACCACCCTCATAGTAAAAAATTTCTTCCTGAGATCTAATCTGAATCTCTTTTCTTCCAATTTAAAACCGTTTCACCTTGTCCTATCAAGGACATGTCCAACATCTCAGCTAGAAAGGAGTTAATCTCTCGTCTGTCTGAGATTTGCCTCAATTTGCCTTTAGCTGTCCCAATTTGAATCTGCCCCAGCACCAGCACTGGATTGTTTTAGGAGCGGTGGGCTCCAATAACCAACTAGTTTCCTCCTGCCCAGACTAAGTCTTGCCCTCAGTCCTCCCTCCTTCTTTTGGCTGGTCCCAGACTTACTGTGACAGTCACAGCGTCCATTTCAGTGAAGAAAAGGCCCCCACCTTGGAAGTCATCATTGAGGTAGAGAATGCCACTGTGGACAAAAAGAAAACAGGACATATGGACGGCGAAGCTCACTCCTCCCAGGTGCTTCCCCACACTCCTTGCCACAGCAGCCTGGGGCACCTGAATGATACCACAGGTTCAAAAAGCCACCAGACCAGTTACCAGGAGAATCCATTTGGGGGTGTTAAATACAGCAGTGCCTAACTCAGGGGAGCCCCTGAGCTGCAAGCCACAGGGGAGAACGTCAGGGAGTCAGTTCTATGTGCTTGTCTTGTTTTGTTTGTTTGGCTTTTTTAATCCTCTACAGCAGGCATCTGTGGCACTGTTGTGACAACACAGTTCCGACCTGGCATGATGTTGTGTTTTAACATTGGAAATAAGCCAAAGCCTGGAAGAGGAGACTGACTGATCAGCAAAGCAAGCCATGTCTCAAGAGTCAAGGAATTTTAGGGTCATGTAAGAATGGTCAAAAAGAAGCTTTAGTGCACGCAGAAAAAGAAAACTAAATTAAGGCATTTCTTTACTGATGTTAGATAAAAAGAGAAGTAGCGAGGCCACTGTGCAGTGCAGGTGAGACAACTGTCAACTAGGTGAAAGAATGGACCACAAATTACTCGCATTCCTCTTAGTGTTCAATTACTCTGATAGAAAACGTCAGATGAACAAGAGAGGCTCATTAATGGGACTTGGAGAAAGAAACAGGAATCAACACTGTGGCTGCTGAATCACAATGTTAAGGATATAACGACAGCGAGAGGATTACCAGCCCTGAGACCCAGGAAGTTATAGCTCTTCTGCCACAGAATTTTTAATAAAACTGTGAAGTCGGGGTGGTAACACGACTGGAGAGAAGCAAGGATAGCTCTCACATGCACAAAGGGGCAGGAGGATAAAGAGAATGGTTGAAGCATAAACAGGCTTGTTAGCCTGACCTCCGTAGTCTGTAGGGCTTCAGACTCCATTTCTGAGGAGAAGGATAATTAAAGGTCAAGAGGTAAATGGAAACCAGTCTTAAAATTTAACACGGGTATACTGAAAGCAGATCGGGCTAGTCACACAATCTTGGACAAAGCAGTTGATCTGCCAGGAAAAGACAACGTGCTCGATCTCAGCAGTTTGGACTCTGGTAAAAGTACTCAGAACAGTGCCACTAGATAAATTACTAACGAACACAGAGAAGGTGAAGAGCACGTGAACATTACACAGTGACTAGTGCACCACTGCCACCCAAAGGAGCACTGTTCTCCTGGAGGAGGGTCACCAGGACTCTTGTACCCCTGGCCCCAATCCTGTTCAAAAGTTTCATTAATGACCCTCGCACAAATACGCAGAAGATATCAAGGAAGTTTGGAGCACAGGGACCTGTTTCAAAAGGAGACTGGAAGAGCTCAGCTCTTGTGAGTTGGCTGGTCAATCACAACTCACTCTGCAGGAGGACAGGAATACTCCTGGAAATAACTCAGTGGCATAGATGCCAGGAAGATATTTTAACACACATTCAAGTAGAAGTGAAAGAAGCCCAGGGAGGAGTGAGGTGACAGGACAGCTTTCCCACAGAAAGGACAGAGATCTAACCTGTTACATGACGGAGCCTGGTAACTTTACAATCTGACTATACCATGTCAACATTTGCATCAGAAGGGAAACGGACTCAATGATACTGGAATTCCCTGCAAGTCCCACATCCTTACCACAAGCTGTTCAGAGAACATTTCTGCTCTGGGTTCAGCTACTACTCAAAAAAAGGCAAATAAGATTTCTGGATGCCCAGGGATGGGATGATAAATAGGAGGAATCAACTGTCGTCAACTGACCTCATTTGGCTGCAGTGTCCAACAATTGCAACTAAAATATATTTCAGGCTCTTTCACAGAAGAGTAACAAAATCTGCCATAGGCTGGAAAAAAAACCTCTCACAGAGAATGGAAAAACACAACACAAAGTATTGGCAGTGAATTTTGAGAGATGAACAGAGAGAATAGCTTCCAAAGTAGACTGACTGCTCAAACAAAGGAAATCCGAGAAGCTTGGCTCTCCCTCTCCTGTCATGCACAGAAGACTGTGAAAGACAAAACTTGATTAGAAGAAACTGCCTGTCATAAGGACTGGCAGTGGACTGTAGTACCCATTAGACAACAATCTGGTACCATGGTTCTAGTCTGTGCAGCCCTCCCAGCCTCATTCTGCTCTCCAGTAATGCTGGCTGTGAGGAGGGAGAAATGGCAGATCTTCTTCCCAGCTGAGGAAAGGTGTTCCACACCTCAACTCTGAAGCCACCGATGCAGCCTCACTGCCTGACGCTACAGTCCTGGCTGGCTTCGAGCCAACAACCCATCACCTGGTTTCTATAAGCTGAGCTCATCCCCTGAGGGGGCCGAGGAGATGTTCTGATCCCCACATGATGCAATGCAGGCCCCCTACTTCTCTTACCTGTAGTCCCTGTACACGTAGGCAGGCGGTTCTCTCCAGCACTCTTGCCCCTCAGGATCCAAAAGACAATTGTCAGCATGGACAGGATGACTAAGATCCATGCGACCTTCCTGTTCCCCTGAAAAGGCAAATTACAAAAAAAGAATATGGGCATTTTCAGATTTCAAGAAAGAACAAGGCAGAGAGAAAGGGGCACTGGGAGAGTAAAGGGAAGAGAGTCCCCTGAGAGCACATGGCTGGGACTGAGGAGACTCTCCGGGAGAACAGGGACCAACAGGGTGAAAGATTCTTTACCGTCTACGGCCGTGCGGCACACAAGATGTGTGAATGAGAAATGGAGTTTCTTTCCAGGAGTAAAATAGGACTCTATGATTTTTCGTGACTTCTCACTGGCCTGCAGAAGCAATTTGGCGTCTCTCCAGTCCACGTCCCCATTTTGGGCCAGCTACAAGCGAAAAACAGACCTGTTAGAATACTTACAAAGACACTCAGAAATGGTACACGTACACAGTACCGAAGAAGAGACCTCTGTAAAGTCCCCTGGTCACAGATGTAAGAAAAGAACACGTTTCCTCATGTAAATACAAGTCAGGAGTACATCTGTACAGCACAGCAATTCTTCCTATTCAGCACAAGAAGCCACATCCGAAATGCAGCATCATTTTGTGTCCCCCAGTACACAAGGGACACTAGCAAACTGGAGGGAGTCTTTGGTGAAGGGTTTTAAGAGGGCAGGGGTGTTGCAGCACGTGACTTAGAGACTGCAAGGGCTGGGTTTCCTCAGCCTGGAGAAGAGAAGACCAAAGGAGGATCTAACTACAGTCTCCTTCCACCTAAAAGGGGCTATAGAGAAGATGGAGGCAGTTTCTTCTCAGAGGGACACACTGAAAAGACAAGAGGCAACAGGCAAAAGCTACAGCAAGGGAAATTTTGGCTAGAAATAAAGAAAAATGTCATCCTCCTAAGAGTGGCCCAGCACTGAAACAGGTGTCTGGAGAGGCTGGGGAATCTCCACCGTTGCAGATGTTCAGGACTTGCCCGTGCAAAGCCTTGAGGGATCTCACCTAGCTTTGGAATTAGCCGTGCTGCATGCAGGGAGTCAGACTAGAGATCTCCAGAGTCTCCTTCCACCTTAATTTATTCTCCAATTCTAAGATAAGCATGTCTGTAAGACTACTGTATGGAAACAAGTAGCATTCCTGAAACTCTGTCTCACAGGAGAGAAAGCATTTGTCAAGCCCTCCATGTACAAAGTGCCCAAATGTGATTGTGGAGGAAGAGGGTCAGGGTAGACCACACATGTGCTTGTGAGGAAGGTAACACACTCATGACACCATCCAGAGTGCACTTCATAGAGAAAAATGCCCAGGTGGCAAACACTCTTCCTGGACAATCAAGGAGGCAGTAGAATCACAGAGCCACTTACCTCCATGGCCTTCATAACAGTTAACCCTTCAAATCTCTCATGTGGGGTGTGAGGTGACCGTCTTGCCCGGTAGCCATCTCCTGCTTCTCCTGCTGCCTGGAATAGAAGGATACACATGACACCCATCAGGCTGCCATCTCTCCTCCATGGAAACATACAGGACCTCCTACAAGAGCCAGGCCTCACCTTTGTCAGCCGGAGAAGGTCCTTACACTCAGACTCTGTCAGCACCCTGTCGAACACAACCCTCTGGGTTCCATTCATCCGGCGGGAATCCATCGTGACAGCAATACCCTCAAAAGGCAAAGGACCTGCCGAGAAGCCAGTAGAGATAGGCATGAGCAAGGTTTGGACCTGAAGCCCTCAGACACCAACCCCCAGCCTGGATAAGGAAGTGGAGAGACACTATACATTCTCTGAGAAGACAGGACAGTTCCCCAGAAGTGCCCGTTCCTCACAGACCTGGGCCACTTGCACCCCTCACATGCTTCAGGGGAACCAGAGCATCAGCTGGGGAAGCACAGCGAGTGCTTCAGGAGCCAGCAGAAACTTGGGGCTTGCTGGGAGAGCAGCAGGGAGCTGGGGAAAGTTGTGGATCACAGCAGCAGAACAGGTCCAGCCTACTGGGGTGAGGCTCTGGAGAAAAGAAGCAGGTAAACACCTCCATCAACCCTCCTTTCAATCACACATCTTATCCCAGAATTATCTCCAGTGATAAAGTAATAATTGCTCTAGGCAATCCTGCTTCAGCAGAGGAGTTGGACTAGATGATCTCTATGGTCCCTTCCAACTCTAAAAAATTCAGTGAAATTCAGTGAAATTCAGTGAAATTCAGTGAAATTCAGTGAAATTCAGTGAAATTCAGTGAAATTCAGTGAAATTCAGTGAAATTCAGTGAAATTCAGTGAAATTCAGTGAAATTCAGTGAAATTCAGTGAAATTCAGTGAAATTCAGTGAAATTCAGTGAAATTCAGTGAAATTCAGTGAAATTCAGTGAAATTCAGTGAAATTCAGTGAAATTCAGTGAAATTCAGTGAAATTCAGTGAAATTCAGTGAAATTCAGTGAATCTTTCTACTTTCTTCAGCCCCAAAGAGAAGCAATGGGTATTAGTTTGGTGATCCCATCTTTTGATCTTTGGCTTTCTTTTCACTCCCTCCTGACCTCTGGATGGTCAGGAATGCCAAGGCACTCAGGCCCTTAGATGGATCTGCTCTCCCATGTGTCACAGCAGAGAACCGCTTGGGGTCACTTCAAGCAAAGACTCCAGGACAGAGCCCTGTGTGAGGCCGTGTCCCCACACTCAAGAAGAGAGGACTAGCAAGAGCACAGGACTCTGCACTGCAGTCTCCAGCACTCAGCCACAAACCATTTGGACTTGTGTTTTTCAGGGAAAGACTTGCCCAAGCCAAATAGTGTGTTTCCGGTTTCCATTTCCCCCCATCTCTCCTTGGACCCTTCAGAAAAATGTTGTTTGAAGTCAGGCTGGTGGAGTTGACCCAGATTTGGTGTAGACACTCCTGCCACACTGAACAGGGATCTGCACGTCCACAGGCTTGTCACGTATTCAGGCACCACTGCTCTCAGCTTCTCCAGCCACAGTGCTCTTTGAGTTCCCATCCCAGAGACGTAGGCAGTGAGATTTTGCAAGATTACACATGCATCAAAGAGGGAGAAAGAAACAGTGAGAAGACTTGCCGAGCCATTCCAGCCAGTCTGCATCTACATTAGCATTCAAATGTCTGAGGATGGAAGAAAAGACAGCACTTAGCCTGGCTGACGGCATCCAAGTCATTCTTCAAGCCCTTTTACTCACCCCTCTTCTCGCTCTCTTCCATATCCAGGGTTTCCTGCTTTTGCTTCTCCTGATCCTCTCTCGGGAGGAAGGGAAAAAACAGAGACCAGGGCTGTCAGTACACAGAGCTATGCCTAACCCTCCTCTGTGGTAGCATTTCACATCCTTCGTGTTCCTGTTTTGCCCATTCCTCAGTAGGTATTACCACCCCTGCCAGTCCAACCCCATTCCCTACTTCCAACACTTGTATTTCAGTCCTAGTCAACTTGGCCAACCTTACCTGTATTTTTCCTTCAGGTTTTCAGGAATCAGCTCATCTGGAGTCCAAAGATCCTGGAGGAATACATGCAGATGATTCAGTAAACAACAAATTTCTCCCACATTGGATCACGTCAAACAACCAGTCCCTTGTTCTGCTTCTCCAGTGAGACTCAGACCAACAGTTCTGGCCTGCTTCTGATGGCAGCCAGATTGAGCTAAAGCATATGGTTACAGCACCAGTTTGAAACTAATTCAGTCCTGGAGCAGTCCTCATAAGGACCTGGGGATCCTTCTCAACAGCATATGATCTTTTCTGGACCGTGTGCTACTGAAATGAATTCTGGCAACTGTCTTGGTGAAATCACAGTAAAAAGGTTAAGATGATACTGCTACTTACAGGGTCATTAAAAGTTCCTCCTAGATGTTCCACCGCATAATAAATCAACTTCTTCTCCATCAAAGATCTCTGCACATAAAGTTGAATACTCTAAAGGAAGCAAAGAGACTGTCACACAATCACCCCACAAAAGACAACACTATCCCAGTCCAGGGCAGAAACCTGCCCCAACACACTGCTGTGCACTATGAAAGCCCTGTTCTGTCCTGAAGGGACCTTGCCTGATACAGACTGTAAGTAAACTCAGGCTCCAGTTTCTTCTGGAGATGGGCTTGGTGCACATCTACCATGAAACACATTTCCCTTTTTGTCTCCTCGGCTGCGATCCCATCGTATGGGACAGGGGAGGGCCAAGAAGTACAGACCTGGGGTTGTATCTACCTCTCTGGCTGTGACAGCTGTGTCCTCTCCCAATTCTGTGCGATACTGTTTCATTTTCTCCAACATTGGCTCATCCGTGGGATAGAAGAGTAAGTAGGAAGCAGCACATTCAGCAGCCAGTGCCTGGTTCCCAACTTGGGCAGGGACAGAACAGAACAAAAATATGTCTCTGAAAGACTCGATGTCAGCAGCAAACGTGTACAGGCTAGCAGCACCCAATGCTTTGGTCAAGATCTGGCAGTAGAAGGCCTTACACTGGGTACACAACCCCTTCCTAGTTGGGCTTCTACCCAACAACGGGCAGAGAATACAGGGAATGAGCCCAGTGAAGAATGGGCCAACTTTCAGTATTTGTTGGGAGCTCGTTCAGAGGAGACAGAGAGAAAGCTAATATATATTTGGAAGAAAGACAGTCCCACCTCCCTCAGCCAATAAACGTGACAAGGGGTCCAGAGGCTTCTTTGAGATACAAGTTTTACCAACGGTGTGACAGAGGAGACCAGAGACAGTTGGGTCAGTGTGGGAAGGAGCAGAGGTATCCAAGAGAAGAGCTGAGGGACCTGTGAAAGTGACTGACAGGATGATCAATTTCATGACAGGCCATCAGTTCAGTGAGGGCAAGCAGGGATGAGTCAGAAGAAGTCAACCACTGTTGAAATGAGATGCACGTGCACGCTCTAGATAGGAAGTGGGGGCCCTCGCCTGGAGCCAGGTACAAAATACACAGCAGACAGTTGGAGCAAGGACTTGAAATGGAGATTGCTGGAGGAAAGAAGTGGGAACAGCCCCACATTACAGAAGATGTACAAGAAGATTGAAGCGGACCACAAGTGCGTGGGACCTCTCCCAAGGTGGCCACAGGTTTGAGCAAGAGAAGAAAGGTTCTGGGAACAGCTGGGGGGCAGAAAGGGGAAGAGAGAGGTAGAGGTCAGGTTGGTGTGCCAGTTCTTCCTGTGACACACTGCCCTCCAGTTTCAGAGGCAAAGGGCAAGCTTAGGGGTGCCACAGCATAACCCGCTGGGTTGTGGCTCTACTCACCTTGATCGTAGGCAAACTGCAGTAAATCAAGATGAGAGGGTATGAAATCTTCCGTGGCAGAAATCCGCCCTGGCTTTGTGGCAATTTCAAGGACGCACTGCTGTCTGCACTTCAAAACCTGAACATAATGGGCTGCAAGAGAGAGGAGCACGAAAGGCAGTAGTCCACAATTCTCCCAGAGAGGAATGCTGGGAAATGGGGCATGTCCAGTCTGGGTAGCATGGCCTTCCAACCCAAAGCTCTCTGCCTCTAATGCTACCTGCAATGGCTTCGTACAGGCCAGGTTGCATCTCCTCCTCCTCCTCCTCGTCTTCATCCTCCCAAGGACCTTCACACAGGGCACGACACTCTTCCAGTGCTGACAGCGCCTCTCTGAGTGACTCCTCCAGCCTGGCCACAGCCTGCAGGTACTCATCTGCATTGTAGTGCTGCACCCCAGCTTCATACGCTTCCTGTGAAGGACAGATCCAGGTCCCTCATCAGCGTGGGTGACACCAAAGGATGCTCTGAGGCTTCCAGTCACTCACAGGGTAGTGGTGACATCTAGGGGCCTGCCTGATCATGCACAGCCCACCAGGCGGTGACAGCAAATCTTCTGGATTTAGGCCAGATATACTTCTCAAAGGCCCTGCAGCCTGTCATAAGTGTCACCAGAAAGTATCTGTGTCACACTTGCAACGGTTTGTCTTCACCCTGAAGAGAAGGCTTCAGGGAGACCTTCTTGCAGGCTTTCAAAGATAAAAGGGGCTTGTAAGAAAGACTAAGCAAGACTTTTGACCAAGGCCTGTAGTGACAGAACGAGGAACAACAGTTTTAAGTTGAAAAAGGGTAGATTTAGACTGGAGATAGAGGACATTTGTTACGATGAAGGTGGTGAGACACTGGAGCAAGCTGCCCAGAGAAGCTGTGGAAGCCCCATCACTGGAAGTGTTCAAAGTCAAGTTGGACGGGCCTCTTGGCAATTTGATCTGGAGAAAGATGTCCCTGCTTATGGCAGGGGGTTGGACTAGGTAATGTTTAAAGATCCCTCCCAGCCTAAATCATTCTGTGTAGGGGGCCCCCATCTCAAGCCATGGCCCTTCTGTGGGAACACATCAGGGTGGCAGAGGAGTTCCTAAGGTGGGGTAGGAGCTGGTGACGCCTGGCTCCGCACGGAACCCTCACCCAGTGTGGCGTGGCCTCCAGGTCTCGGAAGTTATCCGACTTCACCCCCGACATACGCCGGTACTTCTCCATGTCCTCCCGCATCTGGAGGTGCTGGGGGTTAGCCACGAAGAAGGTGTGGGCAGCGGACACGGCCTGGTCCAGCTTCTTCAGCTGTGGGAGAGAAGGCGGCAAAGATGCTCTACATGCTCTAGCTCCAGGCAATCCTGCTTCAGCAGGGGAGTTGGACTAGATGATCTCTATGGTCCCTTCCAACTCTAAAATTCAGTGAAATTCAGTGAAAGAGCACCCGTCACACTCCTCCCGCGTCCCCCCCTCTCCCATCCTCCACCCCCTCACCCCCAGCTGCTCCCTGGAGTCACCCACCGAGACTCTTGTGCCCGTTCTCGTGGGGCTAGTGGTGAGGTGGTGGCTGGTGGCCCCCACCCCACAACCTGGGGAGACAAGAGAGACTCCCACCCCGCTGTGGAGAGCCCACCCCCCGCGGTGGCCGCCCCCTACCTGGAAGAAGGCCACCTGTAGGTAGTTGTAAGGCTCCCTCTGCTCGAAGTCCCGGCGGATGGTGGGGCTGGCCCGGTGTGCGGAGGTGGCGGTGCCCAGCCGGCGGCCCAGGCAGTGCTGCAGGCAGTCGGCCCGCTGCAGCACCCGGCCCAAGAGAGCGGCCTCCCAGGGCTCCTCCGCCGCCGGCCCGCCCAGGAAAGGCGCCTCCCGGCGGCAGGAGGCACGGCAGGCTCGGCGGGCCGCCCGCAGCCCCGCGTAGCTCTGGAGGGCGCGTTGCAACAGCTCGGCCGCCCGCCCCCAGTCCCGGGAGAAGTAGGCCCGCACCCCGTCGGCGTACAGCAGGTCGTAAGGGACCAGCCGGCCCGGCGACGTGGCGGTGGCGGCGTAAGGGCCCAGCCGGCCCGGCGACGTGGCGGTGGCGGCGGCGGTGGCGAGGAGGAGGCAGAGGAGGGAGGCCATGGCCGAGCCGCCGGAGAGAAGGAGGAGGAGGAGGAGAGGGGGTCCGGGGCGGGTAGGCCCACCCAGGGGGCCGGGCCGGGCTGCCGGCGGGCGGTGCCGCCGGGCGTCCAGGTTGGGGAG